ACCCCTTTGTACATGTAGCATATTTTTTGCATATATAAGCAAATCTACCCACGAACTGCCATTCACTTTGCATTCAACATACATACTGCGAAAACCTCTCCACACATTCTCTCTCGAAAAGATTTAAAACTAAAAATGTCTGCACGGGAAGAGGACGCAAGGGAGGTGGTGGATACGGTTGCGACCAGCAGTCGACGCCATCATTCGGAAGTGGCGAGGGCGTTTCGGAGTTTACAACGCTTCGCATCAAGCGATGTACTCCTCCGTCCGTTCAGCACAATCCCGCTGTTTCTACCTTGGCATTGAGTGATGAGGTCGAGCATAAACTCAATCCAGACCCGCCTGCTTCGTTGCTTATTAGCCGGTGTAACCAGCTCCAGTGGCTGAGGAGGAACAGACAGAGCAACAGTAGCCACCAACGGTTTCTTCGAAGGGCACGAGGTCTTCGGGGAGACCAGGTTTCGGCACAGTTGGAAGGAAGGTGATCGTAAAAGCGAATCACTTTCTAGTTCAAGTGGCTGTCAGAGATCTGACACATTGCGATGTGAGGATATGTCTTTTGCTCTCATTTATTTCTTCTGTGTAGCTGTATGGTGTCTGATGTGTACGTCAGTGTGCAATGCTGTATGCCTGTGTCATTTTTTCGACTATATATTTTTATGAATGTTCTTTATTTATACGGATGCATGAATACTGTATATGCATTTATCTTCTATAATAAACAATTCGTGTTTTATTAATATGAATGGATTTTCAATGTTTAGGCTCCTTTTATTTGGGAACGCGTCTTGTATATCTATGTTTACTTATTTCTCTACTTTTTATATATGAATATGCACAAATCATTTATCAGTGTATTTCAACATATACTTGTGAGTTGTCATACGTGCACAAAAATGATGAATTAGTGTCGTACAAAACCCCTCAACAGTCCCACGTTCTCTTTGCTTATAGAGCAATGATACTTGTAGAAATGGGTGATAAAATGGACAACGTCACTCCCCTATTGGAGGGGCATTTTTGTCACCCCTTTGTACATGTAGCATATTTCTTGCCTATATAAGAAAATCTACCCACGAACTGCCCTTCACTTTGCATTCAACATACATACTGCGAAAACCTCTCTACACATTCTCTCTCGAAAAGATTGAAAACTAAAAATGTCTGCACGGGAAGAGGACGCAAGGGAGGTGGTGGATACGGTTGCGACCAGCAGTCGAAGCCATCATTCGGAAGTGGCGAGGGCGTTTCGGAGTTTACAACGCTTCGCATCAAGCGATGTACTCCTCCGTCCGTCGAGTACAATCCCGCTGTTTCTACCTTAGCGTTGAGTGATGAGGTTGAGCATAAACTCAATCCAGACCCGCCGCTTCGTTGCTTATCAGCCGGTGTAACCAGCTCCAGTGGTTGAGGAGGAACAGACAGAGCAACAGCAGCCACCACCAATTTCTTCGTAGGGCAAGAGGTCTCCGGGAAGACCAGGTTTCGGCACAGTTGGAAGGAAGGTGATCGTGAAGGCGAATCACTTTATAGTTCAAGTGGCTGATAGAGATCTGACATATTACGATGCGAGGATATGTTTTTCGCTCTCATTTATTTCTTCTGTGTAGACGTATGGTGTCTGATGTGCACGTCAATGTGCAATGCTATATGCCTGTGTCATTTTTCCGGCTGTATTTTTTTTAATATTCTTTATTTATACGGATGTATGAATGCTGTATATGCATTTATTTTCAGTAATAAACAATATGTGTTTTATTAATATGAATTGATTTTCAATGTTTAGGCTCCTTTTATTTGGGAACGCGTCTTGTACATCTATGTTTACTTATCTCTCTACTTTTATATGTAAATATGCACAAATCATTTATCTGTGTTTTTTAACATATACTCGTGTGTAGTCATACGTGCAGAAAAATGATAAATTAGTATCAAAGAAAATCCCAGTTAACAGTCCCACGTTCTCTTTGCCTATTGAGCAATGATACTTGTGGAAATGGGTGACAAAATGGCCAACATCACTTCCCTATTGGAGGGGCATTTTTGTCACTCCTTTGTACATGTAGCATATTTCTTCCATATATAAGTAAATGTACCCACGAAGTGCCCGTCACTTTGCATTCAACAAATATACTGCGAAAACCCCTCCACACATTCTCTTTAAAAAAGATTTAAAACTAAAAATGTCTGCCCGGGGAAGAGGACGCAAGGGGGTTGGTGGATACGGTCACGACCAGCAGCCGACACCATCATTCAGACGTGGCGGGGGTGTTTCGGAGTTTACAACGCCTCGTATCAAGCGATGTACTCTTCCGTCCATCCAGCACAATCCCGCCCTTTCTGCCTTGGCGTTGAGTGATGAGGTCGAGCAGAAACTCAATCTAGACCCGTCTGCTGCGTCCGCTTATCAGTCGGTGTAACAAGCTCCAGTGGCTGAGGAGGAACAGACAGAGCAATAGTAGCCACCACCAGTTTCTTCGAAGGGCATGAGGTCTCTAGGGAGATCAGGTTTTGGCACAGTTGGAAGGAAGGTGATCGTGAAAGTGAATCACTTTCTAGTTCAAGTGGCTGACAGAGATCTGGCACATTAAGATGCGAGGATATGTTTTTCGCTCTCATTTATTTTTTCTGTGTAGACGTATGGTGTTTGATGTGCACGTCAGTGTACAATGCTATATGTTTGTGTCATTTTTCCGACGTTATATTTTTGTTAATGTTCTTTATTTATACAGGTGTATGAATAGTGTATATGCATTTATCTTCGATAATAAACAATACGTGTTTTATTAATATGAATGAATTTTCAATGTTTAGGCTCCTTTTATTTGGGTACGCGTCTTGTGTATCTATATTTACTTATTTCTCTATTTTTTGTATATGAATATGCACAAATCATTTATCTGTGTATTTCAACATATATACTTGTGTGTAGTCATGCTTGCAGAAAAATGATGAATTAGTATCGTACAAAACCCCCCTCAATAGTCCCACGTTCTCTTTGCCTATAGAGCAATGATACTTGTAGAAATAGGTGACAAAATAGCCAACGTCACTCCCCTATGGAGGGCCATTTTTGTCACCCCTTTGTACATGTAGCATATTTCTTGCCTTTATAAGCAAATCTACCCACGAAGTGCCCTTCACTTTGCGTTCAACATACGTACTGTGAAAACCCCTCCACACATTCTCTCTCAAAAAGATTTAAAACTAAAAATGTCTGCACGGGGAAGATGACGCATGGGAAGTGGTGGATACGGTCGCGACCAGCAGCCGACGCCAACATTTGTACGTGGCGGGGTTGTTTCGGAGTTTACAACGCTTCGCATCAAGCGATGTACTCCCCGTTCGTCCAGCAATCCCGCTCTTTCTGCCTTGGTGTTGAGTGATGAGGTCAAGCAGAAACTCAATCTAGACCCGTCTGCTCCATCCGCTTATCGGTCGGTGTAACCAGCTCCAGTGGCTGAGGAGGAACAGACAGAGCAGCAGCAGCCACCACCGGTTTCTTTGAAGGACGAGGTCTTCGAGGAGACCAGGTTTCCGCACAGTTGGAAGGAAGGTGATCGTGAAAACAAATCACTTTCTAGTTCAAGTGGCTGACAGAGATCTCACACATTACGATGTGAGGATATGTTTTTCGCTCTCATTTATTTCTTCTATGTAGATGTATGTTGTCTGATGTGCGCATTAGTGTGCAATGCTATATGTCTGTGTCATTTTTCTTTATTGATGGAACAAGATTTCCAACCAGGGATAAGCATTGGTGTAGCGAGAAATTGACATCTCGCAAATAGATCTCGAACTATCAGAGTCTTATAAAGTGGCCTTGGAAAGGATGAGGTCTTACAGTTAAGCCCAACGATAGTGAGAGATGAGGAATAAGCATCTCGCAAAGCCAGTAATAAGCATCTGACGAGGCGGGGAATAAATATCCCGTGAATAGATCTCGGCCTATCGGAGTCTTATAAACTGGCCTCGAAAAGGATGAGGTCTTACAGCTAAGCTCAACGATAGTAATAGCCGAGGAATAAACATCTCGCGAAATCAGGAATAAGCATCTGGCGAAGCGGGGAATAAACATCCATAAGCTCAACGATAGTGAGAGGTAAGGAATAAGCATCTCGCAAAGCCAGGAATAAGCATATGTCGATTTGCCTTTTCCTTTTTCAAAGAACAAGGACTTTGGAAACTACCGCCTCTTCCTTTATTCAACGAATGAGGACTCCGAGAGATAAAGCTAGTCTAGGGCCTGCAAGGTCTTGGAGCTTGCCTCGAATAATAGAGAATCATATAAAATAATCAATATAGCCTTCGAATAATGAAAAATCCAAACTTAAGCATTTTGTCGAGCATTTGTAGGATACCCGAATAACCATACTTTCCGGTGAAATCTTAATAGTATGGAGGACCATAAAAGGCAACAAGAAAATGTCTACTTGGTGCCAAATTAAATTTGCAACTCAACAGGAATAAACTAATGTTACTCGGATGCCTGATAATTATAAGGTAAGAAAATAATTCTGCATCCTCAAACTCCTTGAATTGGAATTAAATTTGTAAAATGTAGGTATCCATATAGAGAACACAAACACATATTCACCAGATGCCAAACCGTGTTTCCAAATTAATAAGAATTGAAACTGCTGGTAGATTCCAATAGCCATTTTAGTTGCTTTCCTCCTTTTTTGAATTTAGAACACTTCCCAGGTAGTTTACCTTTGGAGACCAAAAAGCTAGAATATGTCTATCCCTCTTCCAAAAATTTTTAGAGGAAGCCCACTTTCAAACAAAATCCACGAGGCCTAGTATCATATTGCAAGAGCTCAAGAAAAAATGGCACTAGGAAATTGGAATATAAAATGGGCTCAAATGCATTGGATAAAATTGGGGTCCAAAGGCCTAATGAAAATAAATCCTAGGCCCAATTATGCACTACCCAAATGTAAGCTCCAAACATACCTTTAATTAGGTATAGGTTCTAATGGGATCAAGCAAACAAATGGGATAACCCATGAAGTAGCCGAAATGAGTTGCAAAAGTCAATAAAAGGACAATTCTGAAAAGCATACTAGCTAGCAAATCAATCTGCAAAAAATGCGTCCACAACATATTTTGGTTTGATTTGCACGCCACCGCCATGTCTTGTATCCATCTAAAATTTGTATTTGCGCACTGGACAAAGCTCGGTCATGTACTGCTGGTGATCGTGATACTGCATGATGCTAATTGTCGTCAGAGATTGATAAAATAGTGATTGTCGTGTCATGGTTCTGCTCAACAACCATGGTTGGAGCTTGGAGGCGAATTTTGGCCCAAACATTTTCTCAAACACCTGACGAACACCCATATTAGTTTCGCTTCTGTGGTCTGCATTTAAACAAAAAGGGCAGGATCCTTTAGTTTTATTTACAGAGGATAAATAATGGTCCCATATATTTTCTCAAGATGCTTATTGCTCCAATTTTGTGAATCTTGCCCCATGAATAATGGGTTCATTTCTTCTCTTTGAATTTTTTGGCAGAATATGTGGCGATTTTTTGTTGAAATAATGCCCATTTTCTTGACTCTGCTTTCCTTGCTGAATTTGTGGGGAACTATGCACTGCTGGCTGCTTCAACGGATTTAATGGTGGTTGCCGGAGATAATGTTTGCCATGGTTAATCGAGGAAAATATTTAGCAAACAAGCACCGACCACAAAAAATGGTGTGTTTTCCTCAAGAAATAGGCTGGTTAATATAAGTTCTTACTTTCCTTCTTTCCTCCCTTTTCGGAGGTGGACTGATTTATTTAATCTACTCATCAGGTAGCCCCTTTTGGAATTGTTTTTGAATGGCGCCAGAAATTTTGGCTTCCAATCACCAGTTTTGGTATCTCCAACCTCTAGATTAAATAGTCAATTTCACCAATTTGCTTCCGGTTGCCACTTTCATGATCGATCTTAACTCTTTATTGAAACTTCCCTTTTCTACATATCTTCACCAGTGACAAACATTTTTCATCTAGATGCAGCCATCGAAAAATTCCTTTTACAAGGAAATTTTCATATCTTCGTCCGTGGCCAATTTTTCTTCCTATTTTGTTATTGTCTTCGCCCTTTTCTAGTAGAAACTACCCAAAAAATCCTTCAACTTTCGGTGGCCTTTTGGTTTTCACTCACAACTTTTACCATTATGATGTACGTGGTTATGGTATCAAAGATTTTCACAGACGGCGCCAATCTGTTGATCCAAAAAATGGTCCAACAGAATCTCTGCCACGAGGGAAGTCAACTGTCGGACGAAGGAAAAATAAATGCAAGAGACGGGATGGAGAATTTGAAATTTTGGATAGGGTTAGAAATCATACCTTAATTGAAATGGATCACACACATATATATATAGAGAAAAAATGGGCCGACTGGATAATGGGCCTTG